AGGTGCATCAGAAATTACATGGATTCAATCTCTTATGAGTGAGTTGGAAATACCACAGAAATCAGTTCCAAGAATTTGGTGTGATAATCTTAGTACAAACGCATTAGCTTCCAATCTTATCTATCATGCTCATACCAAACATATAGAGTTGGATGTTCATTTTGTAAGGGACAAAGTGCGAAGAGGAGAGCTAGAGATACATTACGTTCCATCTTCAAATCAGACAGCAAACCTATTGACTAAACCACTTGCTCATTCAAGGTTCTTGTTCCTTAGAGACAAGTTTGGAGTGATAGAAACTCGCTCCACCTTGAGGGGGGAGTTAAAATATGGCAACCAACGTGAATGAACAAGAAGCCAGCTGAGCTAACAAATTCTCACTGCCACTATGGTCACTGATAGTCCCTGATTTTTAGGAGTGGAACAAGAAATCAGTTAGCCATGAAAGTGTAGTTTCTACACTTATTCGAGGTCCTAAATGATGACATTTTACTGTTCTTTAGATAAAATACTACCTAATTTATGTTATATTTCATTTCATAGGTAAAACTCAATGTTTGATGAAGAATTGGAGAAAAGAATGCAAAGATAGCGGGAAATGGCTCCATTATATCAAATACAAAGTTCGAGGACAGAAATGCAAATATTCAAAAGTTACATCAAACCTCACGATGAAAATTTGAGAGTGTTGGACATCAATTTGATGAGTAAAGAAGCCAAATGGATGAAATATAGTCCAAGTATTATCACATATCAACTTCCAGCCGAAAAAGTTATGCTTCGGATTTTCAGGCTCACATTGAGACTCAGTTTTGGCATAGAAATATTTCGAATTGGAAAAATGATATTTCTGTAAGAATTGTAGCCTTGCGAGTCAAATTTTCAATGCACTTTGAATTACCTCAATTGAATATCGGAAGAAAAAGTTATGATAAAAATACTGAGAGCTGTCAACTGCCAAAAATCAGCCCTAAGGCGTGCGCCCTCGCCTGTTGGCAAGGCGCGTGACTCACTTCAAATTGGCCTCGACTGAGGCCTACCTAAAGGCTAAGGTGCATGCCATAGTTTCTACTAGGTGCGCGCCTCAAGCCAAGATGAGAAAAAAGGGTTTGTTTCCTTATCTTGTTTTGGGAGTTTCTAGGGTTGATACATAAGGATATTTTTCGGGGTTTTGAAAGGGGGAGGCCGTATTTTTAGAGAACAAAGAGAGAAAACTTACATTGAAGAGGAGGAATTCACCATTTTGGATACGATTTTGAAGGCTTGAATAGTCAACTTCCATATTTTCTTCAATTTTGCATGATTCGGGTGATGACTTTCTTTTATTTTCTATATAATTTTCATATCAATATGCTAGGCTAAGTTTATTTGTATTGGATGGATGATGAAACTACTTGATTTCTAGTTTTTAATTCAAAACTTGTGATTTTTAGTTAAAAAAAAATTCTCTAGAATATTCTTTGTATAGGTATGCTTGTATAGGTTGATTGTATATAAAAAGGATAGATGGAATGAACCGTGGATGGGTGAATTTCATTTCAATCAATATAGCTGCTAATTCAATCAAAATTCATCTCAATTTCTGAGTGATACCTGGTGTGATTGATTTTACAAAACTTTGATTTTGAAGCTTTAGAGAAATGATTTTTGCTTCAACAATGACCTGCGAGGGAGCCGAAGAAATCATATGTTCCTTCTCTTTATATTCAGCAAAATGAAGATATTGTTATTCCAAAAGTCTGGGTGCATACATCGAGCCTTTGCTCTTATCCATGAGCTTCTCCGTGTTACCGTTTCCCACTTTCTTTCTATTTTCAATCATATCCTCCATCTGGATCTCATTTTGTATTAAACTTACCAGATGATGGTAAGTAATCGTGATTTTTACTGCGAACATCTCACCAGAAGGAAGTTTTTATCAACAATCCATTCCATGCGTCCTTAGCTTCTTCATCTGATATGGACTCACAAGCTATAAGTTCGACACTAAATCATGCAAATTAGTTCTTGAGAGAATCTCTTTTTCCTGCCTTACATCATTTAGTCTTGTGGTCTGTGCTTACCTCATTCTACTCCCAACGAAAGCACCGAGGAAGACTTACTTCAATTTTGGCCAACTCGTGATTGAGCCTAACTACAAATTACTATACCACCACTTTGTAGTTTCGTCCAGTATCAAATGGCGACATTTAAGCATGTGGATTGCCTTCTTCAACATCATTTAAGTCATATACTCAAACCGGTAGTACATCGGACCACACTTCCCACTATATTTTTGTATAACTAGACGAATGAAATTATTCATAATTGGAACCTCCTTAAACTCCTTCGAAAATGGCAAGTGTTCATCGTCATACAACTTATATGATCTCGTAGATCAATCTTCATATTCCTTATATAGAGGAGTATTATATAAAGAGTTGATCAGGCTCTTTGCTCTTTTACTTTCACGGAGACAACTCAGGTTGCCTCTTTATTATGAGAATTGACCTCTTCTACAAGTCTATCAAATCAGTAGATGTTTTTGTCCAATGATCTCTTTGCCTCATCTCAGGCAAATTATCACAGGTTTGATACCTGGACATTGCTACTATTCTCATAAAAGAAGCTGGTTATATGTTCCACATCATTTTCATTGAATTCGCCTTGTAGATTCACTTTTGGATTTTCGACTTTTGCACATAGAGTGGTGTTTTCTGCTGTTAATACCTTAAGGATTGCTACCATCTATAGTATAGTCTTTGTTGTTGACAATATTTTCTTCCATAAGAGACGATGTTGAGAAGGGGTGTAATTGACCTACAACTTCATTAACGTCTTGGATTGTCATTGTATTCTTTCTTTACAATCTCCAACGCCTTCACTTCTTCTAGAATTAGTTCTGCCTGACTCATCTATTTGTAGATTCCAGTGACTTTTCAATTGTGGTATACAACTTCATGGTTATCTTTGCTTTGTTTCCCACAGAAGGCATCAACTTGTTGACCACAAAATTATATATATTAAAAAGACAAATGCCTCTTACCTAACCATGATTTTTCCCTCCTAAACTCACAGGGGTTGTGCTACAGGTACAAAATGGTGTACAAAGGGGTGTCCAAAATGACCACTTGGCCACCCCCTATTGGAGGGTCGGCTGGGGAGTGGCCATTTTGGACACCCCCTTTGTACACCATTTTGTACAAGAGGCATTATCTAACTCACAGTGCTTGAAGTTCAGGAAGGAGTAAGAGGAGAAATGACTATTTAGGAGGGAAATATTTGAATTTACACGCCTCTCTTCTTTTAGGCGGGACTTATTTATAGATTCCCTTGAAGGTCTTGGGATCTTTTTAGTGAATGATAAGTGGTGGTCATTAATGGTAGGGTTTTAATTGATTGTTATGTATTCACGTTTTATTTAGTGGCTTATGTGTCTTATACTTGTTGGTTTCGAAGTCACGCTTTAAATACTTATTCACAAGTGTTTTAACGATTTTTGCCAACATGGAATTCAAAGGAGGTGGTTTGCCGTTCTTGCCTACTTACTAGCCTCACGAGTATTCAGGCCTTGTGTAGAAGGGTTTTGAGCTCGCCTATTCATTCCTTTATATTTTCTTATTCACCGGTATTATTGAAAAAAAAAAAATTTTTCAAAACGTTTAGATTATGTACAAGTAAAAATTGAAGTAGTTTTATTTTTACAAGAAAATTAAGTACTAGGTCAACGTAACTCAATTCCCAATTCTCAATGGACTTGAGCTTTGGCTTAGGAGCAGCATGTAGCCTACGTTTTGCTTTTGATTATAAACTATTTATAAATACTCAAGTAATTCATAAGCCCAATTTCATCAAAAGGGAAGGTTTTTTTTTTTTGACCACTTGAATATGAGTTTGGAGACTCCCCGACCCCTTCCAACTATTTAAAGAGAACGGATATTGCAAGAATTTCACACTTTATTAACTTTTTAAACTTTTTAAAGTCCATGAAAAAAATTAATTAATATTATTAGCACATTTGTTGCCTTGTTGGGTAATAATAGAACAAAATTATAAAAAGAAAGTCTAAAATGAGCCCCCTCTTGAACGGTTACTCAAAGTCATGCTTTTAGAAACTTCCCTCTCCGAACGGTTTTCCACTCAAAAGTTGTGGCTTTTGGAAACTTCCCTCTTACTTGCATTTCCTCATAACTGCTAGTTCTCACACTTTCTTCACCATATTTGGCATTACTTCCAACCCTCACCTCCAATGGTCTGAAATTTGATGCAGAACTCCTCTGGTTTAATGAATATAACTCCATCCTATTTTCTAATGGGTAATGCTACATGTACACACACACTTTTACACAATCTTTTACACCTCTCTCACATGAAAACATGCACACACACTTTTACACAATCTTTTACACCTCTCTCACATGGAGGGGGGTCCACGATTATTTTATTATGTGTGGGCCCCCTTCCATGTGAGAGAGGTGTAAAAGATTGTGTAAAAAATTGTGTACACTTAGCATTATTCTTTTCTAATTAATTACTCTGTCCATCAAGAAAAAAGATAATTTGTTTTCCTTCTCTCCTGATGATAACATACAATTGCATATTTTGGGGAATATTTCGATGGAAGAAGATGATAGCTTGGGCAACACATGGTTTGTGACAATCGTTGGGCCACCTAGGTAGAAATAGAATAGTTGATGAGTGACTTGCTACTCCACCCAATTTCGATAAAGTTCTTGTATCAAACCGCTTGCCTCACATAAATAAAGAATTCATAAACAATGCTAAAGTATCTAGTATATTGTAGTCGGGTCGGGTCGGGTCGGGTCGGGTCGGGTTATATTTATATAATTTATTTTATTAGTACAATGTATTATTTGAATCTACCTATTTGGTGTAGTTGGAGAAGTAGCATAATTATGTACTCCATTAGTAACGGGCAAAAACGTCAAATTGGACGGATGAGCGTGCTATATAAAGGGCCGAGATTAACGGTCCACACAAGTGAGTGTTTGGATCCGTCCATGGCAGCTCGGCTGAAGAGAGAAGACTGCAACCGCACCAAACATGATTCTGCTTTCTCTCAATGGAAGGTCTGCCGCCCATCTCTCTATATAAGTATATATGCACAGTTTATTCGTGCCTTGTTGGGTAATTAGCAGCCATGATTTAATTGGCTTTCCTGGAACTGGAAGAGGGGTTTATTTCAATTTAGGGAGGAACAAGTTGTTTTTTGGGTCATTCATACTTAATTTCGTGCAATCAAGCTACCCATGTTTGATTTGCTTGCAGATCTGGAGGCAGTGGTCAGATTTACAAGCAAATCAAAGTTGGGTAATTGATTGCATGAATTAAAGATGAGCGATGGATGTCGCTGAAAGTCGAGTGACCCGCAATGCATTTAATTCTTAGTTCATAGTAATTCATTGAAAATTCAGATTCAACGTTAATAGTGTCTTGATTTGTATTAGTAGTGAACACTAATAACATTGAACTTTTTGTTTTTGAAGAGATTTATTGGGAGATGGGAAAATTTGAATAAAGACTAATCTAGCAAATTGGAAGTTGCAGTTTCTCAAAGCTTGGTATAAAATTGAAATAATGAGGGATAATTGCTGCATAGGAGAGTAAATTTTAGTTATATTTTTAAAGTGTTTTTATTGAAATTACAGTTACTGTTTCATCTAAGGAACTCTCTGATCCTGTTTGTTTTCACTTGAGTAAAGAATGAATAGTGAAAAAATATTTAGTTTATTTGAATTTTAGTAAGCAATGGAGATCTGAGACATCCTTGATTCAGGTAATCAAGGTTTGAAGGCATTGGTTCTTCGTGAAATGGCACAAGTTGAAGAAAATGGGAAAATGGACTTGGCTATCTGGCTTAGAGCCCTTTTATTTTCTAGATTCCAACATAAGAGCTTTCTTAATTTGTATGAGGGACACATATCTAAACCAAAATGTTGGTCGAGATGAATGAAACAGTAATGTTAACATAGTTTTGCGAATGAAATATCCATAATATGCACCTGATCAATGATTTACTTAATTTTTGCTCTTGTTAGATTTAGTTGTGATGCACTCTATGTGGTATTCTCCAGATTCTAATTGGGCCCTCTGACTGGGAAGACTACTTATTGGGGAAAGAAGGAGTGGAGAAGTACAGGACTCACAATCTTCCAAATTGCGCGTCTTGTCCTGGCATTTATGAGCTTGGCATAATTATATCACGCCCCCAATCTGGGCAAGACACTCGCAAAGTTGACCCAAGCTGTATAATTCCTGTTTATCTTGGACAAGCCGATAATGTTAGGACCAGACTACAACAATACGGTCGTGGAGGTGCACATTTGGAGAATGGTTGCTCGAATGAAGGGTCGACCAACTTTCAAATTATTTCTGCCAATAGAGGACCAGGATTATTTATGCAAATATTCTCGAAAGGCTTTTCCATTGTTTACAGATGGGCTCCTGTAAGCACTACCTCTCTTTTAGATGTGTTATTGTTTGAACTTGCCTCGTCAATATCCTTTTCTAATATCATCTCATACTTTTAGATGTGCTTATATGTACTGCATCAAAATTTTATATACTTTGACACACCTACCATCATGTTACTTATTTCCTTCCTGGAATTGTTCCATAGATGAAAACTAAGCGCGACGCAGAGAGAACTGAAGCTCAGCTGCTTGAAAATTTTGATTATGCATGGAATAAAGGTAGCAATGGTGCACGTCGACCCAATGATATCCTTAAAAAGATTGATCGGCGTTCAAGAGAATCTCAGTTCTCTCTAATAGCTAAGAAGCTTCAATATTGCCGACAGAAGCAAGAGGGTATCAAAATCAAACCTTGTGAGCCATATTTGATCCAGAGTGGATGGGATATGGACAGCACTGGCATCTTCTCCCGAATTTTTAGATTTGTGAGGTCACGACCAAGGCTAGTGCCAATTATATCTGGTTCTAGTGATGATTGCGCGAGTATTTGTGGTGTTGCCATGGGTAAGGGATCCATTTGTACTAAGCTTCCTGTTAAGGGAAGAAAACGATGTTTAGAGCACAAAGGGATGAGAGTTAATTCAAAGTTGACCACAGAAGAAAATACGCCTTCTGATTCTTCTAGCATTGATTCGGGCATTATCACCAATCCAAATCGACCAAATGCTTTTGAACAACCAGTTAAAGATAAATTTTCACCAATTTGTGGAGTGATCTTGGGCAATGGCTCTCCATGTAGAAGGGAGCCCGTCTGTGGAAATAAAAGATGTTTGGAGCATAAAGGCAGGAGGATTCGTCAATCTGCATCAATATCCCAAACAAAACGAACATAAACAGTGGCTCATAGTTTCATTCTCTAATTCTGGATAGACAGAAAGATTTTCTTTGATAAAACTAGTGGCCAGTGGTCATAAGTTCGCGGGTAAGATGAAAGCAAGCAATACCACACCATATGTGGGTGGATCTAGACGAGAGGACATTTTGTACTAGGAAGCCCATTTCAGCACAAAAAAGGTGTGATTCACATAAAGGCATGAAGACCAAGTAGATAATGGGGAAATTAATTGCAACAGAATGTCCATGGTATCTTTGCTTCTTGGTGTGTCAAAAAGCTTGTAATGAGGCAAAGGCACCAATCACATTAGGCAGTCATTAGTTTAAAAATTATCTTCAGACCGAGAGCATCCACGCGTTTGTTTTTCCTGCAGAATGAAGCAGGAAATCAGTAGGTTTACTGACTCCTGATTATGTTATCTGTTCTCCGATGTTAGTGGCACATTTCTGTCCGAGAATTTTTCATCGTGTTGTTAACCCGCATTGCATGGTTCTTATTGCAGAAGGGCACCTGCTTAAGGTTTGAGCAGGTTCTGGTAGCACAGAAGGCGCGAAGACTCAGTTCATCTGTGTCGCAATGTCGAAGAATTTAGGCACCTCTTTTCCCATATGCTTTTATAGGAGTTGAGATAAATTATTGGGATGGAAACATCAGAAGATGCGAATACAAAGTAATAAGTTCTGTACATTTTGGTTCATCGTTTATAGACAATCTCGATCTCTCTGTATATCAATTATGAATAATGCTACATGTACATTATGGCACATAATGGTGTCCCTAATGTACATGTGGTGCCCCCTTATTGGGGAGCACCTGTGGGCCAAGCACTCCCTCCAATAGGAGGACGCCACATGTACATTATGGACAAATTGTACATGTGGTGCCCCCTTATTGTGGAGCACCTGTGGGCCAAGCACTCCCTCCAATAGGAGGACGCCACATGTACATTATGGACAGCATTATGTGTACTATAATGTACATGTAACATAATCCATCAATTATTCCTTGTTTGCCTTTCTTATTAGCTTAAAAGTTCCATGCATATTTACCTTGGATTCAACCTTGTTGGAAGGAAATGATAACAAATACATTGTTATGTGCAAGGGAAAGTATGTACAAACAAATCGTAGAGTTGAGTTGATAGGTTGGGTACATTAGTGAAAAGGCTCTGAAATACGGAAACTCATGTTAAAGAGGCATGTCATCCGGCGAACCATGTCACATCCTACTATTTATATATTTTATTAGATAATTTATGACAATCAAGGAATACTTTAGAAGCACTTATCGAACAAGTGTTCAATAGGCCATGTGACGTGTTCTATATTTAATTTTAGATATTGTTTGAGCCTCATTATTTGACAAAGAATGTGTTTTTGAATAGTAGATTGATGGAGAATGTGTTGTTAAAAAATAATGAAAAATTTGGAGTCTATGTGTAATATTATTTTATTAATGGATGTGTGGTTGAAAAGGAGAAAAAATGTATTTTGAAAATAATTGGAAACAAGGGTGATATTAGGTCCTTGTTTGGTACAGATTAAAATCTGATTTTAATTTAAGTCAAAGTCAAACAATTAATATTAACCACATCTTTCATGGGTTTCACAACTTTTCAACCACACATTTCAAAAATTTCTATCACAATCTACTAAAAATCTAATAGATGAGCTTTGGCCTTTGTGACAATATCAAACACACTCACTCATATTTAAAAATTCACAACAACAATTCTAATTTTAGTTTTAATTATCAAGTACACTCTCTCACCAATTTTTGCGCTATATATTGTCCAAAATGAGGTTGTTATACCCAGAATGCTCGTGGGGAAAAAATATGAAATTTTTTTTATAGTTAATTACAATTTGATTTTTTCCCTTTAATAATAAAATAACTATTTAAGACTCTGTGCATACACATTTTTACATATGCATGAAGCTTAAAATTTGAAAAGAATATGGCAATAAATGATAAAAAGATTTCTTGATTAATTATATAGTACGTATAAATAATTTAAATATTAAAAAAATGCAATCTTATAAATGAAAATTCATATTCATTAATTCATAAACTAAAACAAGATATTAAAAAAAAACATGTGTTCTATAATTGAATTAAAAGTTATCTAAAAATAGTAAAACCGTTAGTTTATTAAAACATTATAGAATGCTAGGTTGATCCGATATTTTAATTATTACAATATTTAAAAATAATATCATATTATCCCTTTGATCATTTTATATTTAATTGTATTTATAAATAATTACTTTATTAAATAATATACTATTTATGTATTTAAATAAACTATCTTGAAAAATAAATATCACTTATAAAATAAGAGAATTTATATAATTAAAATTTAAACAATACCAAATGAGCTCTATGTATAACGTGACAATTATATTTTATAGTTTACATTCAGCAAATTATGTTCACCTCAATCTTTTTATTTATTGAATTTTTGAATTTAATCTAAATTCACTTCATTATTAATAAAATAATGTTAGACGTCACTTTTATAAGCTCGAAAGATTTTAATTTTAACAAAATACATTATTTCAATATATTAATTGCTATGAGGTATAGACTAATTGTATAAAATAAATCTAATTAATAAAAATAAATTCGTATTTATTTTAAATTAGTAGTATGAAAATTTTAAAAAATTTATTATTATATTTTATTATTTATGAGTATTTATTTATTACATCCGATTTAATCCCAATTAAAATTTTTTATGTTCCTTTATCTTTTCGTGGTAGATGTCGGGTCAACTTTCAAAACAAAGAAGCACAACACAACCCACTGGTAACGACAACGCCTGCTCGAATGCCGGCCGGAGAACTCCGCCACACTTCGCCGCCGCAGCCCGACACGGAGCAAGAGGAAGCGTGTCTATGGGCTAAGATCAAAGAGGAGGCTATGAGCGAGGCCGAAGCCGAGCCTTCCCTAGCAAGCTTCTTGTACTCCACAGTCCTTTCTCACTCTTCCTTAGAGGGGTCTCTGTCCTTCCATCTAGGCAACAAATTATGCTGTTCCACGCTGCTCTCCACTCTTCTCTACGACCTTTTCCTTGACGCCTTCTCCACCGATGCCGACCTCCGCTCCGCCACCGTCGCCGACCTCCGCGCCGCTCGACAACGCGACCCTGCGTGTGTTTCGTTCTCTCACTGCCTTCTCAATTACAAGGGTTTTCTTGCCTGTCAAGTAAGTGAATTCCTGTTTTGTTGATTAAATTCTCAATTACTCGTGAAATTTTTTGCTTTGGTATGCCGATTAGTGTATCATTTTTTGGGTCGTTTTCAAAGTGAGTGTTGGATTAAGAAACGTTCGAGAAGAATATAGGCATGTTAAACAAAATCCGGAATATCTGCCGGAGTGTTAAAATGAATTTCGCCTTGTGCGATTAGTCGAGCTCCGCCCAAGATGGCCGAACAACCACGGTTATAAAAAAAAATGGTTAAAATGAATTTCACTTATTAGTTTGTTCTTTTTATTTTTTATTTTTGCAACTTTGAACTAGATATGAGTTTTTCCATTATCCGACGGTTTCAGATCCGTAAGCAAAGTGATGAATATGAAAGTTAATTAGGTTGATGTCCAATAGTTAGCTACTCATCTCTTAGGTGAAGAGTTGATTAGTATGTTTAACGCATACACTCCACTAATAGGTTTATACAAGGGAACCTAGGAAAACTTTGAGACGACAGTGAAGATGCAATCTTAGTTGGGAGATATTTAAACGGTAACTAAAGCCATGAAATAATACATTGATCAGCTTATGATAATTTATTATTGCCATTGGATTAGTACTGTTTAGAAAGTACTGTTGCCATGAAATAATCAAAATGAAGTAGGTAGTATTATTTAGGACCATGGATTAGCTTATGATAATATATAATTGCCATTGGATACACGTTTCAATAAAGGAGACTCTTACCTAGAACTAATATTTTCTTATAATTTTGTCAAATGAGAGGTGGATAGGATTCTGTACAAGAATTGCAGGGTAATTTCTGGTGAGAGTTTAACCACACAACATTTGTTGGTGGTTACCAAAAAGTGGACCAGAGGTACCATAGAGATTCGAGTTTTATAGAACAAGATAGTGGAACTTATAAAGTGAAAAAGGAGTAAATTTCAAGGGTATAATTTGAAGAAAGAAAAATATAATGCAGACGTAGATAGTAATATGATGTTGAATGAAGTGGGTAGTTGCGTACAAAACATAGCAGAGGAAGTCTTAGGAACTAAAGGTAAAAATTCGCGTAACTAGGAACATATTTGTAGAATGAGGTGGTTCAGATGGTTGTTAACACTAAAAAAGAATGTTACAGAAATTTTCCAAAATATAAAAAATGAAGAGGCTTTTGATAAGATAAGTTACCTAGAAAAGCAATTAAGGGGGGTGATTCAATTCTCCCCTGTGGAGTCATATTAGTGTAGAGTTATCTTCGAAGAAAACTATTTATAGTTATTTTCTATGAAGTCATTCATAGGCCGAATCTTATATAATGTTTGGGAGGTTCACTAAGTGAACATTGAATTAAGAATGTGATTGGCAGTTAGATACATAAGCTCTTTTCTTTTACATCAAAATGATGAGAAGAAACTCTGAATTTTATACAAATTTTGGAATATTTGTTGGAGAGGTCAACATATCTCTAAACTTCAGGGAATTTTGCATCAAAATTTTATTAGACTTATGCAGCTTTTTCAAAGTTCACGGGTATGGACCTGAGTTCAAATTGTTTAATTGATTGATATTTATCTAGTGAGTGCTCTATTGCATGGGCACTTCAATTAGGGTAGCGTGTCCTTGTTGAACACGTGTCGAATACAGACACTTCTCGAATATTTTACCATGGTCATTTTTCTTTATTTATCAGAAATATTATATATTTTTAACTCAAAGTTATTATATAACAAATAGGTACTTATATTTAAAAGATTTCAATAAGAAAAATTAATAACAAGTATAAAACTAAATTTATATTATATAAATGAAGAATTTTAAAGAATTTAATCAGAGTGTCGACGACGTGTCGTGTCAGTATTTTTTTTTAAAAAAATTGCGCGTTGTCGTACCCAACATGTACACGTGTCCATGTTGGTGTATCGTAAAGTGTGTTACAGATTTCAAAATTATTAGGCTCCAGGTGCATTGATATTAACTTCATTGGTTATTTGATTGAAGTTTTGTATGTACTAATATTTTGCAACTTTGTTATATGGTATTCTTATAAGAAGCTTCTTTTGATTGACTCGGTGTGAGATTTTCTCTTATTTGTTAGTTTCAAATCTATAAGTGGAGAGATGAATCCACTTTCTAGCTAGGAAGAGAAGTGTTGGGAAGAAAAATAATTCGAGACTTTTGTTGTGTATAATTATCATTGTGTTAGGTTTAGAAGATATTGTAGAAGTTAACTCGATTGATTATAATTTATAAGATTATCTTAAAAACTTTTCTTTTAGGAGAGGAGTTGATTTTTATTTCTAGTGGTTTTATTCCACGGAATGAATTATACGATTCAACAAAGCAAAAACTTTTGAACAAGCATGAATGGATTGATTCGTTCTATCATTTGTCAAGATGTGATATTTTTTGGGGGATATATTTGGACGTCACATGGGACATGGTTACTCAAGGCATATGGAAATTTTGGTTTCGGAGATTTAGACTAAAGAAGGTAGTACTGTTTTGGATTTTAAGTTGGCATGATTTTTGGTATTATTTGATAATTTCTTCTAACACTGCACTCTCATCTAATAACTTTTAGAGATTGTGATGGAGATCAAGATAAGAATAGATAGAGATAAATTTTAGTTAGGATTTTAAAGTAGAGTTTGATTGAAAGTATATTTAATTAGATTAAATAAGATTAGTTTTGATATTTTAAATTTTATACAGTTATAATTTATTTGAAGTTTGTTTCCTTTTAACGTCTTTTTAATTTATTTGCTTATAAATAAATGGGCTTCTTCAATGTAATAGTTAACCATTGATTATATGGTAAGAGATAGAATCTCACATCGAATAAAAATGAAAATATAGACCAATTTATAAAGGTTTAGGCTACTTCTCTTAAAAAGGTTGATCTTTTAAGATGGAACCCCAAATCTTAATATGGTATCAGAGCCCATTAAACTCTAACGAGCAATTCGATCCGATTAAGACTCCAAAAGTGAGCACACGAATTTCAAGATTGGTCTGCTCTAACGAGCCACCATCTTGCGGGGGCATGTTAAGGGATAGAATCTCACATCGAATAAAGATGAAAATATAGACAAATTTATAAAAGTTTGGGCTACTCATCTTAAAAATGTTGGAGGGTATTAATGTCGATGACTACACCTCAACCATTAACAACCCGTAAGTTGAACGGAACCAATTATTTAAATTGGTCTAAAACTGTGAAATAGCTCTAATTGGACAGGGAAAACACCGTCACCTCACGGAATCC